ATAGAGCTGGAGTTATTGTACTCGTATTCAAGAAGGGAGACCACAAGGAATGCTTCAATTATAGGGACATAACGTTACTGAGCCTCCCAGGTAAAGTCTAAGCAAAGGTGTTAGAAAGGAGGTGCCGTGAAATAGTTGACCTCAAGATCCAAGAATATCTGTGTGGCTTCCTGCCCGGTCGAAGCACTTCTGACCATATATTTGCCCTGCGCCAGATTCTTGAGAAATCGTGGGAGTACGCTCGTCCGGTGTACATGTGCTTGTTGACTTAGAAATAGCCTATGACCGGATCCAACGAAAGAGACTGTGGTCATGCCTGCGGGCATACAGGATTGATGGCAAGGTGCTAAGGGCCATCCAATCACTACATTCTGATAGGAGGTGCTGCGTCTGAGTTAATGGCATTAAGTCAAAACGATTCAACGTTCGCACTGGACTCCGCAAAGGCTGCATCCTGTCCCCTATCCTGTTTAAGTTGTACATGGATAGAATAGTCCGGAGCTGTCAAGGCGATGAGGGTATCAGTGTAGGAGATGTGAAGTCGAGAAGGTTGCTTTCTGCAGACGACCTTGTTTTATTAGCATCTTCTAAAACTGATCTACGGTGCTCCTTAGAAAGGTTCGCAGTCGAGTGAGACGTGACCGGCATGCATGTGTACGCATCTAAAATGAAAAGCCCTGTGCTTTCTCGTTCTCCTGCCCGTTGCGCTCTTCAGATTAACGGAGAGGCACTAGAGCAGGTGGAGAAGTTGAAGTACCTCGGAACTGTATTTACTAGTGATGGAAAATTGGATTAAGAGATGGACCGGCGAACTGAAGTAGCCAGTGGCGTTCTGCGTGATCTAGTCCGACCCATTGTGACTAAAGCAGGGCTCAGTCTGAAAACTAAGCTCTGGGTGTTCAAGTCGATCTCTCTCCGCATACTTACCTACGGTCATGAATCATGGACCATCACTGAAAAACTTTGAACCCGGGCACAAGCTGCTGAAATGGGCTTAGACGAGTCGCTGACCTTACGCGTCTCGAGATGGCCCGGAATAGTGACAACCGAAAGAGACTTGGAATACAGCCTTTGTTTCTCCAGATTGAGAAGTCACAGCTGCGATGGCCTGGGCATGTGTTGCGAATGCCCCCAGAAAGGAAGGCTAAGCAACTCTTCCTTGCAAATCCGACCGGCAAAAGGCCAAGGGGACGGCCAAGATTAACCTGGTGCAAACATATGGAAGGAGTCTGTTCTGCATTTGTCTTTTGCTGAAGCTCAGACTCTGGTACAGAATCAGGAATGTTGGAAGCTCTGTTTGACGTGTGTGCTTCCGCGCCCCGAAAGGAGAAGCGGCGACGGAAGATGATGAAGATTAAAACAAAAATAAATGCAAAATAGCATTTATTGTACATGGGCATTACAATAAAGTTACTCAAAATCATAAAATTGATCTGAATCAATATAAAATGAATAAAAAACTACAATTTCTGCAGTTCGTTTCTTTAAATTAATCCGTTGTCATCTTGTGTTTCTGGCGTTGTAGTATCTAGCACATCGCCTAATGCTTTTAAAAATCAGTTTTTACATAAAACACGGTAAAACCTTACCAACGTTTCAAACCTGCACATTTGTTACTTAACACAATCCTAATCTTTCCCGATTTGCTACAGTCATTAATTCCAGTCATCATCCACTCATCCTATCTGGAACACAACTTTCACTTAAAAGATTTAATGGATAAATCAAGGGTCTGAATCTTTTTTGGTTAATTAACCAAGAATAATTGCGAATTTTGAATACTGCCTACTAACAATTTCACATTATTGGTAATATGCGCATGGCAAGAGTCCAATACTAACAAGGATTCTGGATTGAAAAAGGCCTGACTTCTTTTTCTCCAGATATTTTCAACCCACGTTTTCATTATACCTTGATTTACCCATCCCTTCTGATTCGCAGCAATCAAAATGCCTTTTGGAAAGTTTCCCTAAAGCACTGTATTTCTTTTAAATATAACCAGGGTCCGAAGCTTCCCGCAGTGGAAGTCACACTTAACACCACAGTAAAATTCGACTCCTAATGTCCGGTTGTAGCTACGGAAACTTCTTTCGATCCTTTTAAATTAACAGTCCTTGAAGTAGGGAGATCAAAGCTAACGGGCACTTAGTCCATACTGCCAAAAGGTTCAGGATTCACACCACAAATTTTGTTTAACAAAAAGTCTAAATTTCTCTACTTTCGCTTCAGAGCCATTAGATAGTTTTTGGCCAACACTCGTGGATGAACGAATACACCAACTGTTCCGCCAAACATACTATTTCATTATTCACTGGTCAAAAATCTGCTTTTTTTTCAGGAAAGAAATTGACTACACGCCATCTATACATGAGTATCTATATATTTTTACGAGCATTAAATATCAGGTACGTAATATTTGGTACAAGGTGCGCGTTATCGATGGACAAATATGGAAGTTTACATCAACAGATTCGCACCGAATGACAATGACATTTCACACCACCGAATATTCCGGCAGTGTCGCATAGCCCCCAAGCTTCAAGATGCCTACGGGGATTATTTAAGGAAGACACAGACACAGCTCCACGGAGTTGGAGCAGTGGCCGTGCATGGTTACAGCACCTCTCATCTATGATACCTCAGATTCGTTTTTCCCTTTAAAAATTCAGTTTAAAATGACGCCATATCAAATCAACGGGAGATATAAATTGCTTATAGACCTTTAATCTGAAAGATTCGTTCGAAGAGGTCGACTTCGACTCGTTGTACCATTTCAAGATACTGTCTTCAGTAAGAACTTCGTTTTCGTAAAGTAAATGCACGATATTGGCGCTGGCTCTCAGAACTACATCGTGCAGTGCTGCCATGTCCTAAAAGCAATATAATGGGCATCGTCCATCGCTCGTGTTACTTACAACAACGGCTTGTAGACAGTGAATCTGAGATTGCTGAGAACGAAAATAATTCTTCAAAACGTTCCGGAAAAAGCTGACTACCTGAAGAAACGACTAAATATTAAGAAATCATCATAACTTAACAGAACTGTTTTCAGAGCGTTAATATAGTTTGAGACCGCCAAGTTCATCCCGCCATTCTGCAAAGGCACAAACAAAACAGTCTTTACTACCGTTTCATGAACAAACTCGATCGAGATATTGTAAGCATGCCTAAAGGTAGACCGGTATTCAGGTTGCAAGCACTAGTAATACTTTGAAGAGTTAATTTCCAGAATGATATTCTCGCAGGGTACACGTTCTTCAAAGCCTTGTGTCACGCTTTCCAAAACCTCTTGATAAAATGCTAAAATTAACTTTCATTAGATGCTATATTGATAGTTTGTGGGAAAAATAAAAACTAACATATACAGAGTGCAAGAAATAGGAGTAAATGTATTCGATCAATTATTTATTGTAAAGGATATAAACAGCAGAAGACCGTAGACTGGGATATGTTTGGTAAAGGACTCTATTCAATACAGTATATTTCTTTACACATTTCAGGAAAGCAACCCTGTATACTAAAAAAGAGCAGCGAACAAGGCATCGAATTGCACAACAAAAAGAATTACGTTCATGTGAAATCTTCCTAGCACCAGCGGCATAACTTAAAGACAGCAGGGTGGATTCATGGAATAACTGCAGCTAGGAGATTATAGAACTCACTGAAGCATGGATACGGTAAATAACACTCTGCTACTTGGTCAGATAAATCGTATTTTCATTGTCGGACTGCCAAAATACTGAAATTTCTCATAATCGTTTTCTAGAATTGTAGGCTGCTTTTATAAAACTATTTACGTCTGTTCATTTCAACATCTAGAAACTAGCTATAAGGAAGTATTTACTGTGCTGACAACTGAAAGACATATTCACAACAGGATCTTCTGTTCAACTTCTCCTGTCACATGATGTGCTAGCCATCAATCCTTAGTCGCTAGTACATGGGAGCCACGTGACCAGTTGAGGAGACTGAAGATGGGTGGCCTC